TAGAAGTCGGGTGATTTCCTATCACCTGTGAGATATAGGTGGATACCGAAGCATGGTTGACTATATTTGTTATCGTGGAAAAGAACCATGGGGTAATATAAATGGAGGTCGGACGGAGTCTATATGTAGGTGGACTCATGTGATTCCATCTGTGCCATTTAAGAATCGTATCGTTGTTGGCACTTCTGACAAGATTGAACGTATGCCTATCACTTAGCTGGCCGGATAACTCGTTCCGACTGCGAAGCCGAGTAGCTCAACTCAGGCCAGGCCCCACTCTATAAGAGTGCGTACTCTGGATGGTAGTAAGGATGTGCATCGATTGTTGATGACGCTGCGAGCGTCATGGTTCACAGCGCGTTCTAAAGAGGTTTGGACAAATTTAGAGCGAGCAACGTGACATCCAACCCAACTTCGACCTACACCATGCTCAAGTGCTTACTTAGAAGCAACCAACAGTATAAAAATATGGATCTAGTGTTTAAACATTTTAGTTAGAATTTAAATGTCAAAATGGCATTGTCTACTACCCTTCCATACTTAGAAAAGTTAAGGGTTTCAGTTGGGGCTAAGTAGGCATTAACTCTTTTGTCGCAATTTTTAATAGGTCTAAACCTTGTTAACTTCAACCAATAAATACTTCATGAAATAGTCCATACTTTATACTAATCTATAGCAACAAAATATTTAAGCACTATTTAATTATTTTGCTCAATATAATTCACCAAAAATGACACTTTAATCATAAGTTCAACTTCTTGCCGATTCAATGACAAGGTCTGGTTTTAATTTTAGATTTGATTTTTTGAGCTCCTAAGAACACTAGTTAACAACATTTATTTTCCAAAAGTTAAAGTTGTATTTCCATCTACTAAACTTGTACTTCAATTTTTATTTAAGTATTAAATATAAGTTATATTTTATTTTTGTTTATAGAAATTGTTTTTCGTGCCAAACAATTAAAACTACTTATCCTATTTTTCTTGTTAGGATTTTTATTAGCATTTTTACGCGCTAAGTAAATTAACTTAGATATTTATTTAATTTCTCTCAACCACTAAAGGTAGGTCGCACAGGGTTTGTTTATCATTTCATGCGTGATTTTAAATTTTCAAGTTGAGAACTTGTTTTGTTAATTTCCCTAAGACCTTAACCTAGGTGCTAAGTAAGCTCATAACACTAGAAGTGTTACACATACAAGGTTAGGACCAATCATACATTTACCAATAGATCGCTATAGCTCTTTGCTCTGGGTACCATTCCTTCCCCTCTTGCTTTTTATCTGTCCAACAATCATTCCATGAAGAAATTAGAAAAAGTGTGTGAATGAAACCTAGATTTAAGGAGCAATCTGATAGAATATATGATGGGAGGAACCAAACTGTGATTATTGTAGGATGAAAGCACATTAGGTATTGAAATTATTGTAGTGGTTTGCGTGTGCCCATGCGCGCCGAACAGAAAGACGGATTTCTAAACCATGCAAGACATTTAAATACTACATATATATTACATGAGACATACATAAGCCGGATTTCTAAACCGATATACAAGGTGTCTAAATAGTACATATATCTTGAGACAATCCTAGGAAAGAAAGCCAAGGAGGCATAAGGTCAATTAACCACAATTAACAAGAATTTGTCACAAAATAGAATAAGGAACATAAGGTCAATCCTAAAAGCAAAATCTCTAAGCTGAATGTTGAGATGCTTTGTAAAAGAATACGTACCTAAGGAGGTAATCATCCCTCCAAACAAGGTACCATGAGCCCATAGTTCCTTCCATTCCTACAATTGAAATGGTCGTATCAGTTAGTGCTGAAAGTTAAAATATGCATCTCAAAAACAAAGTTTAAAGATGGTCTGTTCTTATCAGCACAACCCAACATGGCAACAGTTAACCATATAATGCTAAAAATGCTAATCTAAACTGAAAGTGAGTGTCTTGCATTAACCAACATATTTTCTTGCCTGGTAAAAGAACTAAAAGTCAGCTCTGAATATTTATGTTAAGAGTGAGCCATATACATGCTAGGAATCCAAAGTGCATGGCCTCTACATGAACATCTTTTTCTGCAGAGTAAAATGGAGAAAGTAGATAAATGAACATCTTTTCCAAAGTGCAAACACCAATACCGTTGATCCCTTTTTTAACCAATAAATTTCTTTAGCCATCAGAACTGACAAGGTGATCATGAATATACATGGGCGCGAAGCGTCTACAGGACATCCAGATCAAGATGATTCGGACCTATAAAGACCAACAACTATAAGCAATCTGATGGAAAACACACATGACCACACACCACATGGCAAATCTAAACGAACAAGAACACGAAACAAATGAAAGCAAAGGATCTACGGGTCATCTCTGAACTCTGATTCTACTGGACTATACGAATCAATTTATGGAAAGAACCATCTTCTCTTCCTTGACCTCGATGCATCACAGTACACTGAGGAATAAGCATCAGCAATCAACAAAGGGAAATAGGAAAGCCCAGAATCCTCATGAACACAGAAGCTAAGAGAAGCATAGAGGAAACATGCTCCATCCGTCTGTGTTTTGGAGCGGGCATGGCCCCTCCACTCTTCCAACCGTGGCAGCACAGAAATCGAAATCAAAAAAAGAAACAAAAGCACACAGGAGTACAAACAAGACCACGAACATATGCATTGAGAAAGAAAATGTGGTCTGACCTCACTGGAACCCCGCACGCTGGATCCAGGTGGTGTTGCTGGGAGGGGCCCGGCCGGCTGTGTCGCCGCTGCACCCGCCCGCGCCCTCGGCTGGGTCACCTCCTTCCACTCCCGTCGCTCCATCGGTCGCCCCATCCAGGTCTGCCGTGCCCTCGGTCAGGCTGCCGCCGGAGACCCACCACCACACTCACCCCTACACCTTCCTCCTCGGTCGGGCACACGTGGACTGTAGGGCGGAGGTTGGGGATCTGGCCTCGACGGAGGGAGCAGACAAAGTACGAGCCTGAGAAAGGACGGGGAGATCTGAGCATCACCGGAGCTAAAAAGAATAAGAGCGAGAGAGAGGAGAGATGGTAGTCTACCTCACCATCGACGCTAGATCCACTGCTGCCTGTGCCAGGGCTGCCGCGCCGGGCCGCCTATGACCGGGGGCCGTCTGCGCCGTTGCGCCGCCATGCCGGGGGCCGCACAGGCCTTCGCGCGGGGTTCCGCCTGGGCTGAGGCTGCCATGCCAGGGCCGCTACGCCACCGTGTCGGCACGCTCGCTCGCACCCTCACCCGTACTGCCGCGAGAGAAAGGAGGAGCAGTGGAGGCACTTGAGAGAGTGGGAGGAGCGGTGAGTAGAGTGGAGAGAGGGGGAAAGCACAGCGGATAGGTCTGATATTTTCTTTTCCCGCATGCCCGCGCCACGGGCGTTGAGAAGCGCGCGTCGTGCAGAAGCATCCCCGACCAATGGCCGCTCGACAACGGAAAGCGCTCCCTGAGTGACCCGGCTGGGGCCTGCCGGTTTTAGGCCAGCGACGGCCAATGCAAGAGGGAGGTGGTCAGCCGAACGGGGCCCATCTGGTTGTACCATCGCCGCCCCTGGTCAACGAAAGCACCACCGATCATCCGGCATCCAACGGCCGGCAGTCGATTCATCGACGTGGCCATCCTGAGGCCGCACCGGCTCCTGCGGTTCTCTTGTCTTTAGATCATGTCTCCACGCCGCCTTTAACTTCGTCTTCCACCTTCCAAGCCTACCTCATCACCTCTCCCTAGCCGTGCAGACCAGTGCAATCGTCGTCTCCGTCAAGCAGCGCTTCGCGTAGACCGGCGCGGCTGTGTGGCAAGAATCGAGATCCCGTCGGCTCGCCATGGCAGAAGACGAACTAGCCACGGTGGACGGCACAAGCTCCCCGGCGGTGCCTGCCTAGGAGACTGGCTTTAGCTAGTCATGGCTGCTGCTGCGGCGGCGTCTTACTATGCTGTGTCCTGTTATTGCCATTGAAACCTGAAGGTTAACAAAAGCAAGCCTAAATATAAATTGTCCCTCCATGAATCCCCTCCGTTTGTGCAGTGCTACAGATTTTCGCAGCAACACGCGAGGTTTCATCTAGTTGTTCTCAATGCGGCAATGCAAGCAACAACTTGTGTTCATGGGCACGGAGGGGAGGGGAGCACAACAGCGTGGAGGAGAAGAAGTAGAAGTTGAACGGCGGCCTGGAGTTCGAGGTGTATAACAAAGGCATGCTGAAGACAGAGCTGTGCAACAAGTGCGAGGAGACCGTCGCATGCTCGTACAGTGACCAGTGCCAGTTTGCTCACGGCATCAGTGATCTCCGCACCGTTCGCTTTTGATTCGACTGTGACTCGTATAGGAGGTGGACGTCCGACGACGCGGAGCGGGACGACTTCAACTCATCTCGGACACGCACGCGTGACGCAGAAGTGGGGCATAGATGTATTTGTCGTACTATTTTAACGAATAAATAGTATTTTTTTATAAAAACAAATCAGGGAACGGTAGTTTTCTAGCCAAGCGAACATGATTTTGGTATCATCTGATAGATGATGACTTCTTTTTAGGTGTAATAAAATAATAATAATAATAATAATAAAGAAAAGAAGAGAGTAGAGATAGATAGATAGATATACACCATGTTCGCTTGTTGGTTTTAGTCAGCCCAAATCAGCCAATCAACAGTGTTTTCCTCTCACAATAAATCAGCACCAGTCAGCCCAAATCAGCTCAGAAACCAACCAGCGAACAGGCCCATAGATTTCTCTTACATTTCACCTGATGGAGCTTCAACCGGCTTCAGTTTCGGAAGCTTCATGCGCAAGGAGTCGTTTTTATTTCTCGAAAATGCGTTCCTTTCTGGTTTCCACCGAGAGAGAGAGAGCGCGAGCGAGCGAGAGAGAGCAGTCGACGGTCGCCGCCGGCCCCAATCACTCGCTCCGGTTCTTCTCCGCCACCTGCTCCCGCCTCCGCGCCGCCTCGACCTCGTCCGCTTGGCGCCGCAAAGCAGCCGAAGATGGATGAAGCCACCGTAAGGTCGCGCATGGCGAGGCGAGCGGGGGCAAAGCCAAGGCGGCGGCTCGGTTGGACCCTCGCCTTCGTCTTTCCACCTTTGCGCTTCAGACGATAATCATGGTCACGTTCATGCAGCAGAGGTGATCGATTCGATTGTCTTGCCCTTTCCCTAATCCCTGCAGTTTCAGTTCAGGCTTCCTAACGCTCAATCCAGTCGCTCATATCATACAGTACCTCCTTGCTGAGGTGCTGCTGTTTGTTTATGCATTCTGGAGTGGAGGGCCAGAACACGGAATTTCAACTGGAGCTGGAGGCAACCCCTTCCTTCAAGCACTGCCCGTTCTTGTAATCCCTGCCTTTGCACAATTGCACGCTTCATCAGAACGAGAACGCGTAATTACCACCTACTCCAGTCTCTTGCTTTTGGAGATGAACCTCTGGCTCAGTGACCAAACGGCTCACCTTCGTTTAGTTTGCAGTTGACCTTAAAGACAAGAAAACGCTTCCGAGGCTCCAACAGCAGAATGACTCTGTTCAAAGGGGGGTCTCACTCTCATCCCCAACGAGCTAAACAGTGCTGAAGTCTGTCTTTTGCCACTGTCTTTTTTGTTTTATCATCTCAGTTTTGCTTTACATATCTGTGAATCAGAAGACCACATCCTCAACATATCATTCAGTTCCTCTTTATGTAATTAACTGTTTGTTTATTTCGTGCAGGAATGTGATCCTGTGGATGAAGCTACCAGCAGCTTTCCATCTCAATCTGATCCGGTAGAAACTTCTATGCCTGAGGAACACCACTGGCCAAGTACTGACTTGAGAGATGACGGTAGAGGAGATACGTCTTGGGGCCATAGCAAGGATTTCCAGCCAATGCAATCTGATGGCCTATGGAGAAGTGTATTCTTAATCCACAAAACACAAATAACCAACAACAGCGCACTCATACAACCAATTAATTGGTCATGTGAGCATTTATCTGGCAGCCCAGAGGACCCAAATTATATGCAAAGCACTGCGGAACACCATAGGAACTCAGGACCTGATGTTGTTGCAGAGAATGTCATGGCTTACTCTACCGAAGAGACAAGCCCATTCTTACCTGCTTGAAGTATAGTTCTCTCTTAGTTTCGAATGCTAGAGTTCATGCTGACTTTAGTTCACCACCGAGTTGCCCAAAATCAAATGGAGGTCTGGCTGAAGAAGATGCTGTGCAAATAGCGCTAATTCAGCCTAAGTCAGATGACCTTCCTGCAATTGCAGAGTTGCAGATGGAGTTGAGAACGAATCTTCCAGGTTCCATGGATTAGAGGATAGCAGGACGCCCTTCGTTTTGGAGAGGAGCTTTTAATGGGTCCATATGCAGTAGTACAAAATACTGAACGTCATTTGGGGACTTCCGGATAGACTTTATGCAGTCAAGAGATTGAGAAAGAGAACGTTGCTGGAGGTGCCTGCTTTGTTAAGGTAGGTCCTGAGTTGAGCTTCTTATCCTTTCCAAATTAGTTGCGGAGGGTGGCAAAGATGACAGCAAGAAAGAATCATGTCCATCAAACATAGATGAGTTGAATGGTATAGTCGTCATTCAGAGGAGGAAGCTTTGATAAGTATGCCTGCAGTCAATACTGCTGAGCAGTGCTCTGGAACTTGAGGGTTCTCTTTGCGTGCTCAAGATTCCAATTTGATGGAGCTTCCTGCAATTATCAATATTTTATCTGTCATTCCTCATTCCTGAGTCAAACTACACAGCATCTGTGGAATTTGTTGCAGAGGATGATGAGCACTCCAAGGATGACGAAACATCTGATTTGAACTTACGGGAGCAGGAGCACTGTGAAGCTTTTATGGATCCACTTGTGGTCAATGCTTTGGAGGATTCATTTGCTACATCAGAATTTTTGTCGTGCAGTGCGGTGGCTAAGATTACCGAAGTTCTGATTGTTTTAAAGGAAGGTCCTGATGTAGGCAATGGTGTCAATCAATTCGATAACTCCTTGGACTTATTGTTGTGTTCATTTGATCCAGTATTTGATGCATCTGAAGGCTTGCAAGCTGCTCAGGGCCAGGGATTCTCTAAGCTGCAATCTGAAAATGTTTTTACTTTTGCCAAGACTAACATTACTACTAAAGAGATCTGCGATGATGGGGTTTATTTGACCAATATAACAGGAAATCTCCAAAATAGCAAGAAAATGTCAAATGATGCTTCAGGATCTGCTCAGCCAGGGCTATCCAAGTCCCAAGATGTAGGTGCTTTTACTCTTATTAAGGGACTTGCATATCTCCTGATGGAATTAGTAATGCAAAAAATTTGCTTACTGCTAATCATGCTTCAGATCTCCACAGTACAGTAGGAAGTCATTTCTTCAGCCCAAATGCATGACCTGAAGCACAACCTTTGGACCTCTTAATGTTCAAGGAGACTTCTGTTTATCCGGACAATGTTTCTGTTTCTGAAAGCAATTCAGACAATGCAAAGCTATTGTTGTGTTCTGCAGAAGTCAACTTGATTGAATCTCTGGACAGTGATCAGAGAGGAACCAATCAACAATAAAATGAAACCAATTTGGTTTTTGAGGATATTTACATGGCTCGCCAAGGTGCCACTTGTGAAACCCGTCTTAACAATTTGGGGTAACAACATATTTTAGATGCTAGTATGACGGAGACTCTTTAAGGTGCTCAGAGATTATTGTCTGAGATATTTCATAATGACTTCTTTAAGGTTGTATGGTGCAGAATGTTGGCCTACGAAAAGACGACATGTTCAACAGATAAGTGTCGCAGAAATGCGTATGTTGCGTTGGATTTGCGGTCATACAAGAAGGGATCGAGTTCGGAACGATGATATACGTGATAGATTAGGGGTAGCACCAATTGAAGAAAAGCTTGTCCAACACCGGTTGAGATGGTTTGGACATGTCCAACGGAGACCTCCAGAGGCACCGGTGCGTAGTGGAATCCTAAGCCAGGATAGTAACGTGAAGAGAGGCAGAGGAAGACCGAAGTTGACTTGGATAGAGGCGATAAAAGGAGACTTGAAAGAATGGAATATACCCAAAGACTTAGCCTTAGATAGGAGTGCTTGGAAAACAGTTATTCACGAGCCTGAACCTTGATTGCTTCTGCTGGGTTTCAACTCCAGCCTACCCCAACTTGTTTGGGACTTAAAGGCTTTGTTGTTGTTGTTGTTGTTCATGTATAGCTGGGTCCTCAGTTTCTCTTGATGGTGGCAATGACCCTGACAATTCTTCAACTAATTCAGGTTCTGTAATGCATACTGTACAGAAGACCACAGTAGTTCTCCTGGGTCTTCTGTAATGCATACTGTCACTAAACAAAGAGATGAGGATGGTAATTTTAATGTTTTATATGTTTCCTATTTCTATTACTTCAAAACATTTTGCATTCGGCCTCTTTCCAAGATGAGGAAGACTAAGAAAGAAACAAACAATAATGATGCTCAAAATGCAAAAGAAAATAGGACGGTTAAAACATTCTCATGTCAATAATAATAACACTACATATAGTGGCCAGCTGACATACTTCCATTATCTGAAAATGGTAAAGAAATTATAGCTATCCTAATGGACTTCATCGGATCACTTCACTGGAACTCTGGAAGAAATAAACTATGTATCTTATGGGGCAAGATGTTAGTTTGTAAAGCAAGGTCCAGTGTTTGTATGTACTTGTTACTCTTTCTTCTTATGAGGATGTCAAAGATGTGGCTTTGAGCTTCTATCATTTTCTATGAAACACATTGATATAGTGACAGTATTTTTGCCAAGAATCTCGGAGTTCTTTTAAAGAGAAGGACGTCCTTTTGAGTTTTTTTTAAAGAAAAGGTCTAAATTGCCCGTGTATACATTTGTACATATCCCATATTTTGGTAAATATGTTAACCATTGATATCTCCTTGGAAATCTTTTAAAATGTCTCATTTCTTCATGTGACGACGGTAGTTTAGATGAATGCTTCTCACATCTCGTCTTTTTTGTGTCTGTGCCTTGTAGGGTACAAGTACAACAATAACAAGAAAGTCCCAAGGAAGTTGAGGTAGGCTAGCTACATTTGAAACCCACACGAGCCACCCCACAGAAAGGAAAAAAAGAGAAAAATAAAAGTAATAAAATATAGATATAAGGCATCAATTTAGTGTCATTTTTTTATGGGATTGTAGGACACAATCACACAAGTGATTTGGATTTTTTTTCTCTTTTTTGGATGTAGAATACACATACTTTTTGGTAATAGGTGAGAGAGGATTTGTTTGTGTATTTCATGTTGGTACTGCATATATATTTCCAAAAAGAATTGTGTACTTCTGTCATATATTCTCTGTACTTTTCTATTTCTCTGCGCTGCAATAATTGGTACTGTTTTCTTATGACTTATGGTGGACCAATTATTTAGATTCTCGTTATCCTATGAATTAATTATACCCCATGGAGGGCTCTCTCACATCCATGACGTGATGCAACTCCAATGAGTTACATCTCATAGCCTGTTTGCTAGAAGGTCTTGATGCAACAAATTATATTGTATTTTGTTTTACTGTAATATGATTAGTATTGAACATTGATAATTGAATCCTGTATTGTGTTTTCCTTGTATCAGAACCTCCTTTTGCAGTGAAAGGTCACTTCTATTCTCAATTGCCACACAGTTACTTGAGTATGTTTATTCCTTATTTGTGCAAAAGCATTGCTTGGACATGCCACACATGAGGCTTTTCTAATTTCCTGCAGGATGGATCACAACTTAACTTTGCAGCATTGTTTGCATGCTGCCAGTTGTCTCTGAATTATATGATGCCGCAGTCATCAGGTTGGCAGATCATGCTGGATGCTTCAAGTCCACAGTAACATTGTTGACCTGAATAAATTATTGACCCCAAACATTAAATATGTTACATGTAGTGTGCATGCATAGTGTATGGGCTATGTCAACCTAATAAGATTTTGAAGATCTGTTGACATGTCAAAACACTAATAATGCTTGATCTGAACTCTTCTTTCTTGGAGCCTGAACGAAGACCTATGTAAGTGCCATCTGGCTGCTGAAAGATATGATTCTGACTTCTGAAAGATACGTTGTGTGATACGTACTATATACTTTTGTTTTTAATAGAAGTCAACACAGGATGCGGCCTTGGAGTTGAAGAATCCCCATCTACGGTGTATGTCCTCTCATTTGAAACCCATATATTTGGTATGTGATATGTCCATTTTCTGTGGTTGTTGTTTCAGGTACATGAAACTGTACCGTTTAGAATGCATATGGTTCGTGAAATTGATCGATTAGCGCTGCAGTGAAGAACGGAATGTTTCAGAACACATTGCATTGGATCTCAACCTGAACTGAACCTTTGGAACCATCTACATACTGTTTTTCCTACTCTGCATTGAATTTGAATTGAAGCTCAAAGGAAAACATGTTATATTCTTCTAGTTCTTTTATTGTTCAGAAGCAACATTTGAGATGTATTTGTCTTGAGTTGACCTTTTGCTTCTGATGCTCGCTCTTGACTCGAGCAGCGGCTCCTGTTTGAACACCTAATATCACTTGGCCACTTCTGAAGTACGGTAGTGCAGTACTATAATGTTCCATAAAGAAAAAGGTTGCAGCTCCCAAGATCGATCAGTGGCAGTGATTGATCCCTCTTCTGAGACCAATCACGTTGCTGCCACAAGCCATGTCCTGGTTGCATTGTGGCCTTCTGTCTGTATGGAAGTCCAGGTGCAGAGAAACTGACTTGAGGAGTTATTTTAGAGAAAAGGCTCCTCACTTCTCCGGCATCAGGTCAGCCATCACATTTCAGAATCTCCAAGCTATTAAATTTCCATTAGGTTGTGAATCATTGCATGCTTTTGCCAGTTCAGTTGTAGAACAGGGGTGGATGGGAGTAGTAGTTGCTGCGCACAAAGAAAAATATCCAAAAGATTCCATCCCGGATATGCTGAATGTGGATTGTTCGTGCGCAAACGATTATCCTTTATTTTTTCTGTGATGCTTAAGAATTTGTTACTCTTGCAGCTTTGGTTGTCTTAGTGCACCTGCTGTTTGGTGAGCTCCCTAAGCTGACATTGTACCTAGAGCCCTAGAGGGCTCGTTATAAGGTTATCAAGGGATGCCCTTCTTCTTTCTTTGTTTTTGAACTCCCCTCCCAGCCCAGCCCCCCTGTTTTTATTGATAACAGCAATATATAAGAAAAGAATTAAGCACTAAAGGCCTCTTTGGAACACAGAAATTTCACACACAAGAAAAATGCAGGAAACAGAGAAAAAACTCCCGCATTCCAGGGGGGCCTAAATGTGATGGAAAGTTATGAAAGTAAAAGAAGCATGGGTATATATACTTGTTATTTAGGCTTAGCCAAGGCTTGAGATAGGCTAGAAAATCACTATATATTTATGTCGTTTATACATAAAAGAAATGGATGCGTTGAGATGTAGCTAGAGGTTGTGTGTGACTAGGTGTGATAAAACGTAATGAGGCGTGACTAGCTCGAACGCTTGATCTAAAGGGAAATGGATGAGATCGAACCTGTTGTTTAATCCCATCCCAGCCCTATGTTATGTTTCATGTGATCATATTTGACCTTTTGATGTTGTTTGTAGATGAGCTAACTGGGTGATGGCCGGCCCCGGCCTTATCATCATGCATCTTGTAACTTTACGCCATGTGAAAACATGGTAGTATAGAATTGAATTAGAATCGTCCATGGGGATGGACCCGGGAAGCCGAATAGAAAATGCATGCATGATGCTGGGTCGTTCGGTCTGGGCATTCTACCTCTTTAATTAATTAATTTGGGTGGGCAGCAGATAGTAGCTCTAATAACATGTTTGGTTCCACCTTTTAAACTTTAGTCGCTGTCTCATCGGATGCTTGATACATGCATGGAGTATTAAATATAGACTATTTACGAAACTAAATGCACAGAATAAGACTATTTTGCGAGACGAATTTTTTAAGCCTAATTAGTCCATGATTTGACACGTATTGCTACAGTAAACATTCGCTAATGACAGATTAGTTAGGCAATTACTGTCGGATTCTGTAATTTATTTTTTTATTAATATCCGAACATCCCAGGTTACACCTCCAAAACTTTAGTCACTCGATCCAAACACCGCAAAACCCTGCCCTTGGCTTGGCCTGTATAAAATGCCAGTGCTGTATAACATGTAGAGGGAAATGTAGCAGGCAGGCACCAGAGCCCGCAGCTGGCATGTCGACGACGACGGTGACGCCGGAGCCGCCGCACGTCCTGGCCGTGGACGATAGCATCGTCGACCGTGCCGTCATCTCCAGGCTCCTGCGCAGCTCCAAATACCGAGGTGCGTGCATGCTCTAGTCGATCTTTACTCTTGACTAGAGTTCATTATATATCTCAATGGGACATTGTATTTCTTCTTCTTCTTCATATATTCTTCGCATATCTAGTAGTACGTATAAAAGCCTATCCGCCCTTGCATTGCATATTGCATTGGTCTGAAAAATAACAAAATCTTTTGTTGGGTTGCTGCTCCAGTTACAACGGTGGACAGCGGCGAGAGAGCCTTGGAGGTTCTCAGCCTGGTATGTAAGCTCAAGCTCAAGCTCGAACTCATCATCCATCATAGCGGCATCCCTGTTTGTACATATATATGTACTTGTTATAAGTGTTAATTAATTAATTAAAGCAGGATGGTGACAACGTGCACATGGTCATCACGGATTACTGCATGCCGGAGATGAGCGGGTACGAGCTCCTGAAGCGGGTCAAGGAGTCGGCCGAGCTGCGGGAGATCCCCGTGGTGCTCATGTCGTCGGAGAACTCGCCGACGAGGATCCGGCGGTGCCTGGAGGAGGGCGCCGAGGAATTCCTCATCAAGCCGGTGAGGGCGTCGGATTTGTCGCGCCTCTGCAGCCGCCTCATCACCACCTTGCGCTAGCTACCTTCTTCAATTTGCCTTAATTAGCTTCCTCGAGCAGCCGGATGGAATGGAATTACTGATGCCTCCAAGCTAGCAAGCCTACTACTACTATTAATCTATCCCATGCATACTGACCAATGCAACAACCAACCAACAGATGCATGCATGCAGATCATCAGGATTCATTTCATTCAGGGTTAGTTGATCCGGTCGAGCCTGTCTGGTTAATTAGTTAACAAAAAGCAGTACAGTACATTATATATAGGGCGCGCCGGTACTGTTGTTCGTGATGAGATTTGACTTTTGAGATAGACTGCTGAATTTGAATTTGCCCCTCCAAATTAATTTGGATGCAGGAGGAACAATGCAGGTGTGTACATTTCGTATAACTAACGACAGTGCGGTAGCATTTTACCGGATCGAGGCAGTTATCTCTTTAATTTTGATCGATCTTCTCGTTTCGATAGTAATCTGGGCTCAAGAAGAGAATAAATAAAAGAAGCGTCAACAGAATACCGTATATGCGTTCATGATTATGTAAGATCTTGGCCAATGGGCATTCATGTCTCCGGTACCCATCGCGTGCTGCTGTGTTGTGCGGTCGTTGCTGCTGTCTTCCCCACCGCCCATCCCATCTCGCGCCCGTGGCTCCCCAATCCAACGCCGTACTCCTTCCCGCACCGCGCCCCCTCCATCGCCTCGTCGTGCCCCTGCTGCTGCTTTCCGTCCCCAGCTGCGCCAAAGGTGCTGCCAACACCGTTGTTCCCCGTAAGGTCATGGCCGTTGTCGACGCCGTGGCCGCTGCGATGCGTGACCTCAGCAAGGAGATGTTGCAATGAAAGCGCATGTTGCAAGCGTATGCTTCAAGTGTTTCAGACGTTTCAAAGGTATGTTGCAATGTTTTATATGGATGCTGCAAAAGTAGATTGAGGATGTTGCACATGTTGTAAATGTTTCAGAGGCATGTTGGAAGTGCTTCAGTGGTTTGTTTAAAATGTTTTATCTGTTCCAGACGTATGTTGCAAATGTTCTGGTCTGGATGTTGCATATATTTCATAGATATGTCGCAACAATATGCTCCAAATGTTTCAGCTGTTTGAGTCTTATGTTACCGTAAGTGTTTTCATGGTGCAAGTATTTTACCTGGATGTTACATATGTTTCATATATATGTTGTAACAATATGTTCCAAATGTTTCACCTGTTTGAGTCTTATGTTGCAGTTAGTGTTTTCATGTTATAAGTGTTTTATCTGGATGTTGCATATGTTTCACACGTATGTTGTAAGGGTGTGTTCCAGATGTTTCATCTGTTGCATAAGTATGCTGCATTCAAGTGTTTCATGTTGCACATCTTTCATGTTGTTCAAGAGTCGTGGCCTTAAGTGATGTTGGCACAGCATCGGGCACCGGGAATGGGGCGCGCGAGCTGGGGTCGACGGACGGGGAGCGCGCACACTTCGGGTTGACGGTCGTGTCGCGTCGCGTTGGGGGAGGCGAAAAGCGGGGTGGGGGCGAACAACGTTGAATCGAGGCGACAGGATGATCTGCGAGTGCGAGAAGCGAGTCCTCCGGACACGCGGACACCGCGATGGCGCGGGTATACGTCTTTGGGTGGGAAAATCAGCGGACGGGGCATCCAGTGCTGCTGCGTCCATCCGGACGTCTGGGGCGCTAGCACCTCTGTTAAGATTAAGATCATGTGATCGTGATCTTACGCCTCATCTGATTTAGGGCCTATTTGGATCATAGTTCGATTATTATAATCTGGATTATATAGAGGATTATTATAATAAGGATCAGGATTATGGATTATAATAATTAGCGTGTTTGAGTCCATGGAATATGATAATTGATTATGGTTGGTTAAAGTGAGAAATTCCTGCCTTATCCTTAGGGGCAAGTAAGACTTCTGGCACCCATAATCTCTTATGACCTGGTCTCAGCTGCATTATGGAATTATGATAATCAAGAGTTCTAATTATAATTATCCACCGTATAATCAATCATGTTTAGACCAAAATTTAATTATATAATTTGATTATTATAATCAAAGGTTATCGAACTGGGCCTTATAATATGTGGTTTGACAACCTTGACGCCAGTACTACTTATATATACTGGTGTAATTAAGATGCTCCCACATACATCCTCTTCATTGAGTCTTGTTACTTTTGACTTGTTTTCCAAAACTCTCGTAGAATCAATAGAAATAAATAAATGAGGAAAAGTTCCTAAACCAGTACATATTCTTGGATTTTCAGTTTGCTCAATATTTTTTTTAAATGATAACCCCTTGCTGGATTATATGTGTCGAAACAATCAACCCACCGCGCGTGATCATCAATTAGCTAGGGACTGCCTCTTTAATCTTTTATCGAAGGTAGATACTCACATGAGTACATGCTTAACCGGTTAAAGCTCGTGTTCATCGATATCATCAATGTGATCTTTATCGAAGGTAGTACATACTTGCATGAGTATAACCCTGACCAGTGGCGGAGCGTGGCATAAGAATAAGGGGGGGGGGGGGCAAATTGATCTTTGCAGTGTCAAATCCTGATGAAAAAATAAATAGGCATGTAGTTCAACCTGCTAAGAATTTACGGTCATTGAATTTCTGTCAGAAAGGGGGTGGAGGCCTAGTTTCGCCGCCACTACCCTCCGCCTCTGACCCTGACCGACTCCTAGAGATTCCGCCAACATTGTTAACGTTGTTGATAAACCCGAGTTTTGCTACTTATTGAAGCATAAATCATGACGAATAAGTCTAACGTAAACACTTGAGCAAACAAGTTTGACTACCTTAGTTTGACTTGTTGTGGCTTTAAATTAAATCAGCAAAACTAAGTAGGAATCAACCGAGTGATGCATGCAGGCGTGGTGGATTGGTTTTTGCAACAAATTGAGCAGAGGCGAGGAAAGCATTTGCAACAAAACGAAGTACGGATTTTTTTTCAAAACTCCAAGGTTTTCGAATTTGTTTGTTTTCTACAAAAAATGAAGTCAATGTCGTTTGTGGAGTACCTGTGGTCCTGTGGACTTACTTGTGGTTGCACTCGGCACTCACATGAAAGAAACTAGTAGACACACCATATGTTGCTGCGTGTGAAGAATTTTTGAATAAAATTAAGTGAAGATAATGTGTATAGGTTGCATTAAAATATTGAAAGTTAGTGACATGACATGACTATTGGTAGAAGATGACGTGGATAGCCAGTGGGAGATGACGTGGATAACTTACATTAAAAAGTTAAAGTTAGTGACATGACATGACTTTTGTGAAAGATGATGTGGATAGCTATTGGTAGATGATGTGGATGCGCATGTCTTACATGTTGTAATCTTGAGATAGAACATGTTTTTGAGGATTAGCTTTACAAGATATATATTGATCGACATATAGATTTTTTTTAGCAGGGATCGATATAGATTTTGGACAGAGGATATTTTGCTTCCCGTGGCGGCCCATCGGTTGGGGTTGGGAAGCCCAAGGAAGATGGCCCACGCGCGGGCGCGGCCGCGCCCACGTCAGCACATCCGAGTCCTCGTCGCCGCCGCCATGCTTCTCCTTTCCTCCGCCCTCTTCACCACCGCACGCTTCCCACTCGCCGTCTCCGCCCGCCTCCCAAACCCTACCACCACCACCCGCCTCCTCCTCTTCGCCGGCCTCCCTTCCTCCTCCCCACTCCGCGCCTTCTGCCCCAGGGCGCGGCCCTCGCCCGCCACCTGCGCCGCCTTCTCCTCCACCATGGCCGCCGCCGACAACCCCCTCCTCGTCGCCGACTTTGACTTCCCGCCCTTCGACCGCGTCGAGCCCAGCCACGTCCGCCCCGGCATCCGCGAACTGCTCACGCGACTCGTAAGCCATGCCTTCCTCCATCCCGACCTTCACCCTCATCTGTCTGAGATTGGATGGATGGATCCCGAGGTTCTGACGGGGGCTGCTTGATCGCAGGAGGGCGAGCTCGAGGAGCTCGAGAAGGGCGTCGATCCCACGTGGGGGAAGCTTGTCGAGCCGCTCGAGCGCATCACCGACAGGCTCGAGGTCATCTGGGGCATGGTCGATCACCTCAAGGCTGTTAAGGACTCCGCCGATCTCCGCGCCGCCGTAGAGGAAGTGCAGGTCCACTTGAGTTATCCCTTTTTGCTGTTCGTTTCTCCTCGGTCCTCGCTTCTTACAGTGCGGTGTAGCAAAGCAGCTCACATGGATCACCGCCTGATCGAATTTCTGCTTCGTCTCACAGCCCGACAAAGTCAAGTTCCAACTAAGGCTGGGGCAGAGCAAGCCTATCTATGAAGCTTTCAAGGCCATCAGGAACTCTTCCGATTGGGACAGTCTCAGTGATGCTCGCAAGCGTATAGTTGAAGGTCACACTGAAACCTCTGTCTAGTAGCCATGATAAAATATATACTGATGTCCACTTCCAGTGACCCCATGGGAGAGAACTGAGTGTGGTTCTCCTTTACTAATAGAGTAATAGTTTTTCTTCTTTCCATATGCAGCTCAAATAAAGGAATCTGTTCTCAGTGGAGTTGCACTTGAGGATGAACAAAGGAGAAATTAACCAAATCGAACAAGTAAGCCAGATTTTGTCACTGTTGTGCCACTTGAATGATCATCCAAATAATCGCTTCGGTTCGCTTGGTTCTTCTAATCTTTACTGGTGTATGTCACTACATGAATTAATGGACTGCTAATTTCATTTCAGGAGCTTGAAAAACTGACACAAAAGTTTAGCGAAAATGTGCTGACGCCACACAAAGAAATTTGAGAAATTAATTACTGATAAGAAAGAAATTGAGGGGTTGCCTGCTACAGCCCTTGGTTTAGCAGCACAGACTGCTGTGTCAAAGGTATTGCACCGCTACAAAATCTCAGTAGCTGCTTCCACCATTACTAATCCTATATGCTGATGACAAGCAATATTGTTAGGGCCATGAAAATGCTACAGCTGAAAATGGACCTTGGGTTATCACGTTGGATGCACCAAGCTATATCCCTGTTATGCAACATGCTCAGAACAGAGCGCCCGGAAGAAAGTTTATCGTGCTTATCTTACCCGCGCCTCTAGCGGTGAACTTGATAACACCAATATCATCTCCCAAATTCTAAAGTTAAGGCTAGAGAAGGCTAAACTTCTTGGCTACAAGAACTATGCTGAGGTGCTTCTGCTCTTACTTTTTCCATTACATTAAAACAAGCACGCAATAGTTGTGTTCTAATTAATTGATGATACTTGTGAAGGTAAGCATGGCTCAGAAAATGGCAACTGTTGAGCGAGTAGAAGAGCTTCTCGAGAAGCTGCGTGCTGCTTCCTGGGGTCATGCTGTCAAAGGTACAACCAACTAAATTACTATTCTTCTTCCTATAGGTTTTTTCTTCTGCACAGTGGCAAGGTTGTTTGCTTCCATGCATTTCTTCTTCTGCGTCATTTGCATTATGTAATTTGTATTGAGTTGTTCTCCTCGATGCTATTTTCAACAGATTAAATATATCAAGTTTGTATTCAGGATTCTAGAGATATGCCTATTATTCTATCATCATCTGAATTTTGTATTACTTGTATTGTATTTGCGTTTGAGCTGTGCACCAAACTTTAGGTTTTCTTTAACCTCTGAGATACCCTAACATGAATATTTCTTATCAGCAATCATTTTCTCTTGTGTAGGGAAAGTAGGCAGAACTTCTTGTTTTTCCCCGCACATATATTAACTGCTGATTTGTGTATTCAGATATGGAAGATCTAAAAATCTTTGCGAAAGATTCTGGTTCTCCTGAAGCTAATGATTTGACTCACTGGGACCTTACCTTCTGGAGTGAACGACTGAGAGAGTCTAAATATGATATCAATGAGGTTTGTTTTCTGTTTTGCTTCATTTAAGTATCTCAATAGTTTCAGCCGCAAGCTGCTAAGTTTCTTTTATTGTTCTCAGTAGTTTGTCCCTTTTCTTTATTGATGTTCAACTGTATTCCAGTTTGTCTTAGGTCCTCAGGGGCATATGTATTTCAAATACTTTGATACTCATACACTGAAGTGCTACTAAATGTTCTCTCATTGAAAGAAACACATGGTAACGACTGACCAATGAGCTTATTTGAACACTGCCATTGCAGGAAGAGCTGCGCCCTTATTTTGCACTACCCAAGGTTATGGATGGCCTCTTCACTCTGGCACATAAGCTTTTTGGAGTTACTGTTGAACCTGCAGATGGGCTGGCTCCTGTAAGTACTGGTTCACTTTTCTTCACATGATACAAATTCTGCAATTGTTGACAAGTGACTACCTTTTCAGGTCTGGCACAGTGATGTCAAATTTTATTGTGTCAAAGACTCTTCCAATAGCCCTGTTGCTTACTTTTACTTCGATCCTTATTCAAGACCATCTGAAAAGCGCGGAGGGGCTTGGATGAATGTGGTCTTTTCTCGAAGTCGCGTGCTAGCTCGCAATGGTTTGGCTGCTAGGCTTCCTGTTGCCCATATGGTGTGCAATCAGACTCCACCAGTTGGTGAGAAGCCCAGTCTTATGACCTTCCGCGAGGTAAGTAATACATCTGTGACATGTGAATAAGGATATCTGGAGAAAGCAGTAGCTCTCTCCTTATTATGGTAGTATAAATAAAGAAGTGTAAATTGTGTTGCATGTTGCCTGTAGGTTGAAACTGTGTTCCATGAATTTGGTCACGCCCTTCAGCATATGCTTACTAAACAAGATGAAGGCTTTGTTGCTGGTATTCGTGGAGTTGAATGGGATGCTGTAGAGTTACCCTCCCAATTCATGGAGAACTGGTGTTATCACAAGTATGGTTGGTCCATACCAGTTGGTTTTTAGCTTGAATCTCCCTTTTTTTTATTATAACTTATCTCTTGCGTGTCTGTAACAGGAATACTCTTTTGAGCATTGCAAAGCATTATGAAACCGGTGAAACTCTTCCAGAGGAAATTTATGCGAAGCTTGTAGCTGCAAAGAATTTCCGTGCTGGCACCTTCAGCCTGCGCCAGGTCCGTAAGCTTGTTTCATCATATTCAACTTGTTACTCTAGTAACTTTTACTGGTATGGTTACATTACAAAATATGCATCATAATATTTGTCTTGTTATTAATTGGTTTTCTCCTTTGCTTTTTCTGCTTATACATTTATATAAGGAGTAATCCATGCCATTCCAACTTCTATTTCTTTTACTTCTGTAGATACGATTTGCCAGTGTAGATATGGAACTTCATACAACTTATGATCCCAATGGTTCACTGTCCATATATGATGTTGACCGAAGAGTTGCAGAACGAACACAAGTTCTTGCTCCTCTGCCGGAGGACAGATTCCTGTGCAGCTTTAGCCATATTTTTGCAGGTTTGCACCACTCGGTATATATCATATAAATTCTGTCAAGTTCATGACAGAATGACCTCTCATTTCATTTATGGGCAATTGCAGGTGGCTATGCTGCTGGATACTACAGTTACAAGGTAGGTTGTTTTGCTTGGAATGCCCTTCTGTCCTGACTTTATATTCCTTGAGGGTATGGTAACGCTAATATCATGTCATGTCCTTGATTCAGTGGGCTGAAGTACTGTCAGCTGATGCATTCTCAGCTTTTGAAGACGCTGGTTTGGATAATGAGAAGGTACGCTTTTCACCGAAAAATAGATTAGGATTGTTTCTATGTACAACGAAGGAGGGTCAACATTTCTTTTGTCCCATTTGCCAATGGCATCAATGTAAATTATAATATTTCGAATTCCTGTTTTGTAGGCAATTGAGGAAACTGGCAGACGGTTCAGAGATACTGTTCTTGCGCTTGGAGGTGGAAAGTCTCCGCTTGAGGTAATGGCTTCTTGTAATCTCTTGGGCTGCTTTCATAGCATTGTTTTGCATCAAGGCATTCTTATTATACGGTTGCTAAAATAGAATTGTGATCTGTATTTTAAAGTGAGTGTAGTCGCCATATGATTTGGGATACAAATTTGTTTTGGGTTCTTTGAGTTGCTGGGAGCCAAACTAATGCTCGCCACTGGCTGCAGGTGTTTGTTTCATTCCGAGGACGGGAGCCTTCACCTGAACCACTTCTTAGGCACAACGGCTTGCTTCCTGTTGCTGCGTAGTGCTCACCAGCATTCAAAGATTTCTCTGGGGCGTCGACCGAAAAGATTGCCGTGCCAATTAGGCTGTTATTTATGCTTAAACAGGGACCGTTTGTAGTGGTTACAAGTATATAATGGCAGTATTGACTAGCACCACATCCACAAACAAGGCCGGCCAATCGCAGTATTTCTAGAAAAAAAGAATAGTTGTTTGGGCACATTGCTTTGCTTTGATGAAGATAGACATTCTCGGTGGTAACATTTACTGCAAGCCAGACGTGTGCCTCTAAGTTGTAACGTTATCTAATAAACGAATGTTAAAGTTTGAAAACCTATTTATGGATCGTCATCTATAGGTTTCTATCTTTTAAAGATGTGAAGTAAATCGAACATTAAGGACAACTAAACTGTGTACCTTAGTGCAGTTATGTAACCATAGATGCAATGCAAATCTCAAACCGACAGGTTTCCCGTAACATAGTTCTTACGTTCATGTAACGTGTAGCAAAAGTACTCATATATGTACCCATATCATTTCCAAACATCTAAACTAGTTATCAAACAAAAGAACATTTAAACTCAACACACACAAAAAATTGCTCATATATGTACTCATCTTTTACTAGACGAAAGCTGCATCAGACTCTCTCGCACCTGATTCGGCCACGTAGTAGCCTGCTTTTTTCTCAGCCGTCGGATTTTGATCGAGCGTGCATAAACGGCCACAGAAGCTGGCGTCTCCAGAGCCTTCGTCTCGAGCTCATGATTCGCATGCGAGATGCCACTCCTCGCTGCCGTCGCCGGGCCACCGCGCCTCCCTCCGGCTTTCTTCGACCGTGCAACCTCTGCGAGCCCCACGTCACGCCGGGCGCGGCCAGCAGCCCACCGTGCCCGCGCTTCACCCCGCTCCGGGGTGGCCGGAGCCACCACGCCTGCGCCCCCGCTCGCGCCGGGGTTGCCTAGACCGCCGCTCCCGCACCCCGCCCGTGCCGGGGTCGCAGGACCGCTTAGTCGTGCCAGCGCTTCTCCGCCGAGCAACTCCTTCCCCTGCGGACCCCTCCTCGCCGCAGAACAAGCAGCCCTCTTACGAGATGATGCCTGATGGTCGCCGCGCCGAGGGAGCAGACGCTCGCACCGGTGGAGCCGCTGTGCGCCGAGGGCCCACGAAGCTTGCGCCGCCAAAGTAGCGCGCGCCCGGTGGCCGGCCGCGCACGCGTCGTGGAACCGGCCGCAACCCGCTGCCGGGAAGCCGACCTCGCCGCGCCGCCGGCCACGCCGCCGCCAAGACGCTTAGGCCGGGGCGGCGATGCTCGCATGAGATCGACCGCCGCCGCCGGCGCTTTCAGTAAGCGATCCCGCCCAAATACGATGGTAAAGACAACAATGATGGCGCCGCCTTGTGTTCCCGTGTGCTCGCTGCTGCAAATAATTAAAGAACTCAATGCCGGCATCGCCGCTTCCATGGATAATGAAGCCAATGTGTTGGATAAAATGGGAACAAGTTTTTTTTTTTTTTGCATTTCTTCCTCTCAAATTTTCTAGATGATTTGTGCATACCACATCTCTATCGTTATAATATTCAAGTTTTTCTTCCACAGCAATCTGAATAATAGCATATAGATCTTGTTAGTCAATATAAACTACACTTGAAAATATAATAAAAAAGTGCTGTGATTTGGGGCATACTGTTATTCAAGCAACAAGAACAAATGAATACTGGTTCTAGAATGAACTTGCTCCAGTGATGGATTCTCCTAAAATAGGATAACATGGAATTAATCTTTGACACACTGAAATATACATAAGAGATAATCAGTTTAGAATTAGGTAAGTCCAATTTACACCCTTCAACTTTTCATCAAAGTCCGGATTTCAATCTCGATCTTTAAAACTGGACAACTTTGGCCCCCAACTCTTGAAAAGTTCAACTTTCAACCTTACATGCGGTTTTGCGGGTGAGCGATAACTTTTGATATTTTTGAAGCCTTTTGATTTTATATTATTTTTTGAGCATCTTAACGTCCTCAAATGAAAAACTCAAAACTACAAAGTTGTAGATCTCATCGAGGTCTACAATTTACATGTAAAAATTATCTTCATCCGACATCGTATTGAAGGGGTTTTTATTTTTTTGAAATTTGAGTCTCATCATGCGATAAAATTGTTTCACGCGTGATGAGACTCAAATTTCAAAAAATAGAAAACCCTTCAATACGATGTCGGATGAAAATAATTTTTATATGTAAATTGTAGACCTTGATGAGATCTACAACTTTATAGTTTTAATTTTTTTCATTTGAGGACAGTAAGATGCTCAAAAAAATAATATAAAATTTCAGCACCATATTTTATCGCGTGATGAGACTCAAATTTCAAAAAATAGAAAACCCTTCAATACGATATCGGATGAAGATAATTTTTATATATAAATTGTAGACCTCGATAAGATCTACAACTTTGTAGTTTTGAGTTTTTTCATTTGAGGACGTTAAGATGCTCGAAAAAATAATATAAAAATTTCGCACTCTTAAAATATCAAAAGTTACTGTTCACCCACAAAACCGCCCGGAAGGTTGAAAGGTGAACTTTTTCAAGAGTTGGAGGGCCAAAGTTGTCCGGTTTTGAAGTTCGAGGTTGAAATCCGGACTTTGGTGAAAATTGGAAGGTGTAAATTGGACTTTACCCTAGAATTAATCCTGAACTTAAAAGTTCAGTTGGGTAAGCTACAAAGCCTTCAGTTCTTACAGTTTGTGCTGGACATTTGATGTGATAGGCTCGCAAAGGAGTGCCTAGCAATCTTATGCCCCTTTAGCTAGAATTTAAGGTTGTAAAGATTACTATTTAAGATCTACACATCTCTAGAAGACTTTTTGGGACACATCTTGTCATGACCCAACCTAGCATTTTCTTGCCGTCTGATTCATGAATCCTGAACTTAAAAGTTCAATTGGGTAAGCTACAAAGCCTCCAGCTCCTACAATGTATACTCTGAAGGTATCTGAACCCACCATTTACTTTATTGATCAGAACTTCAAAGGATTTAAACACAGGAACATCCAAGATTCAGTCCCTTAACCATTTTTCTCTCTTTGAACAGTAAACACTGATATAATGACCATGCAAATTTGCCAAAATGACCAACTAAAGATCAATTTCTCTTGACATCCGCGTGAGAAAGACACTACATTTGATTTCTAGAATGGGGTTAGGATTTTGGAGTACTTTGAGTTGCTTACTGGAGTGCACACCTCCCAGCCGCTCGGCTGTAGGTAACCAGGCTAATAAGCAAGCGCATCGCCACAGCTCCCGGCGTCGTTGGTGTGTAGCCGCATGCTCCTGTTCTTCCCCTTCGTTGCTGTCGCACCATCCCTACTCGTTTTCTTGCCAGACCCTAGATGGATGAGCAAAGGGAGATGAAGGCAGCAGTCAAGAGCTAGAGCACGAAAATGTATGGACTGATTAGATATACACCGCGTGCAGTAGGATTAGATATACAGCACGAAAATATAATTAGATATACACCGCGTGCTTCCCCTAATCATATTTGTAAGTTATTTGTAGTATCTATACTGTCATTACTTCCAACGTTTTCGTCAATAAACTATCAGTTATGACTCTTCCGATTTATGCTTATTCAAAGGACTCCTTGATAATATTGTTGTTTCTCAGCCCATGAGCATGTATGTTCTATCATATAATTTTGCTACTAATTGTTTATATTTATCTGAATGTTTGATTTTGCAGGCAAGAGCTGACGATTAGGCCATCTATATAATCAAGCCTAGCTAGATTTTGCTCCAGATCTACCCAATCATTGCTGATCTGGATGATCATATATTTGTTCTTTTATCCCCTGTAATTCAGTTACACATTCTCTGGATGTGGGAAGGGATAAGACTATGCCCTTTCTGCACAAAAGATCTTATCTTTTCTGTGAATGAATAATAATTCAAATGTATCCTCTGTATAGTACTCTCTCTCTAATATACTTATTTCTCATATGCAGATTATTGCGAGTTTAATGTCAGTGACATCCATCATCGCAATGCTCAGACTCAATCAATATGAGCAATTTCCCCACACGCTTTCCTCCAAGCAATGACGGAAGCAAGTTACGTGATGAGTCATCAGCTAGACATTTTTTTTCCTCTCGAATACGCAAAAGATTTGCGTGTCATTGAATTAAGGAGAAGAATTTAAACAAACAAACAACACGCTTCTATCAAACACCGAATGAGGTCGATCTAACATAAACGAAACTGGACCATCCTAGCAAAAGACCTCTTATTTCGATATTACATAAAAGGAAACAACCAATATCGACGCAGCTTCGTGGACCTAGGAGGTGGCCTTTCTTCTTCAAGGGTTGCTTCGGACGGGCCCTTTCCAACGGCCGGAAGAGCGCGCCCAGGCCTCGGCATTTGACGCAGATCGTTGCATCAAAGAGCTTGTTAAAGGCCCCGACTCCGACACACGGATGGCAATCGATGGACCATTGGTGTAGCCCATACGCTACATGATCAACACCTCACATCGCTTGGAAGTCGGCACTTGGGAGAGGCTCGAGCCAGCCAACCGCTTCTTCCACCACGACAAAGATCGGCTTAGCAGAGGCGGCTTGGGAGGCTCGCAAAATCAACGAAGAGTCCCTCTTACGTGTGACATTGTTGATGAAGCTATCGAGACGGCTGTTGGGGATTTAACTTCACCAAGAAAACTCAGTCCCTAAAACTTTAGAGTTGAAATTGTGATTTTTATAACAAAGTTTACTTGCAGGAAAAAGAAGTGAAGCGGAGGTGGAAATTTGACTTAGCTAGAAAGATTCCGTCTTCACTGAAGAAATCTCGTCTTTGCTGGTGAAAAGAAGGCAAGGTTAGGCGAAGACAAGAATTTGACTTCACCTAACATTCTGGGAGAAGAAGGAAATCAAGACAGAAATCGACTAACTCTAGAAGACGACGATATCAATAAAATTGATGTACAAAGATTGAAGAACGAAGACTCAAAAGGAAAAAAAGACC